ATGGCATAGTGAGAACAATTTATGGATTTCTTTTCACCTTTTGAGACTCTCCCTGAGGAGATTCCAAGCAATTTGCTGATTATCCCTAAAGTATTTCGGAGCATAACAAAATGTCTGGAGGTTGTGCTATAATTGCCCGAGAAAATTGCATTTACTGTCTTTTCTTTCATTTTTCTTTTTGACTTCCTGAATTCCTTCCTGACTTCCATCCTTACTCTCCTCCTCTATTCCTCCTTCCCTCCTTCCTTGCCCCTCTCCCTCCCTCTGTTCTTTCTCCCTCTCTTCCTTACCCCCTCTCTTCCTTCCTTTCTTCCTTCCTTCCTTCCTTCCTTCCTTCCTTCCTTCCTTCCTTTTTTCTTATTTTTTTTCTCTTGGTTAACTTTCCTCTTGTAGCACAAGGGGCTCTTGATTAAAATATCCTATCTATAGGACACTCATCAAGAATCTGCATTTCCAGAGTGGTCTTCTCAAAGGCATGGTGTAGTGTAGAAGTGTTTAAACACTGTCCTATTACAGTATTTTAAACTTTTTTGGGAATTATAACACTACATTATGCAAATTCAAGGTGCTACTTCCTTGATTTGTTGCTCAAATTGTTTTTACTTTTCCTTCAGTAAGTTAGTTACTATCACTTTTCATTTCATTCCTCATTATGCTACACTTTAAAATGTGTTTTATCTCTACTAGTTTCTTGAACTTTCATGTAAATTTCAGTATAAAGTTGCCTTTACAAAAATTTGCTGGGTTTGCACTAAATCTATGGATCAGTTCGTAAAGAATTGATATTCTGAGTTATTGAATCTTTCAATGAACTCAATATGTTTATTAATTTGTTCAGATCCTTTCTGATTTCTTCAATCACTATTTTTTACTTTTCTGCCTACAGTTCCTGTACATTATTTGCTTGCTTCTACCTACATATTTCAGTATATGTAGGGGATTATGAATTTTTAAAATTTCATTTCTATATGTACATATAGAACGATATTTCTTTGTTAATCATGTATCATGTTACCTTGTGAAACTCACATTTTTGATTTACACTTTCGTTTTTCAGATTTGTGGAAATTTTCTATTAGATGACATATCACTTGCATATAGGAGTGGTGTCATTATTTTCTTCCCAAGTTGTACATATCTTATGTCCTTTTCTTGCACTTTCTGGGAAGTCCTATTTGGTTGGCTTTGTTTAACTATAGGTGATGTTTAATTTTTAGATTTTTTTGTAATGTAATCATAAATTATTTAGTCTTTTGTTGTTGTTGTTATTCTGACGTCCTTTACTCAGCAGAATTATTTTGAGATTATCCCCATTTTGGGATGTACCAATAAGTCATTACTTTTCATTGCCAGTGGCATTCACTTCCTTGGATACCCTACAGTCCATTCTCAATTGGATGAATATTTTATTTGTTTCCGGTTTGGGGCCATCACAAATAAAACTTCAATAAAATTGAAGGGAAGAAAAAAAATTCTCATTTATGTCTTAATGTTTCCACTTAGGCCTGCGATTTAAACTGACACAAGAGATTAACAGGACAAAAGCATATAGATTTTATTTTGTCATTTTTTACACATACGTGGAAGTCCTCCCAAGAACATGGACCCAAAGAATTGGCTAGGCCTAAGTGTTTATATACTAGGTTGAAGAAAGAGTGACAATTGTAGAAAAGTAACTAAAATATTTGGTGAAACTAAAGACAGATGAGTTATTTTAATAAGCTCTGTTTGTATAGGTTTCTTTTGGCTTAGAGTCTCAAATCTCTGGTGCTGAGAATGTTTTTTTTTTTTTTCCTTCTGATAAGGAGGGCTTTTTAAAGATGGCAATTTAGTTTTTTTTTTCTTTTTTTTAAAAAAATATTTTATTTATTTATTTGAGAGAGAGAGAGTACACATAGCAGGGGGAGGGGCAGAGGGAGGGAGACAAGCAGACTCCCCATTGAGCAGGGGGCTTGATCCCAGGACCCTGGGATGATGATCTGAGCTGAAGGCAGGCATTTAACCAATAGAGCCACCCAGGCACACCGTAATTTCATTTTCTGCTACTGAGCCACCCAGGTGCACCTTATTATAGTTTTTAATATGGTGATTTTATTTTTAAATGTTAAATCATCTGTATGTTTCTGGGGCAAGCCTGATATGGTGCATCATTGCTTTTACATACTGCTAGATTCCATTTTTTAAATTCTTATTACAATTTTTGAGTAAGGGCTCACGACTGATATTGCTCTGTTGTTTACTTATGATCCTTTTGCATTTGATATTGGGGGAAGTGCCCCTCAAACAGTGTTGAGTATTTACTTCAATTAAATTGAATTGAGTATTTAATTCAACATTCTGGAAGAAAATGTATATAACTCATTTTCCCAGGAACTTAGTGGAATTCCTCAGTCAAGACACCTAGGCTGGAGTTTTGGATTAGTGAGAGTTATTTACATATGTATTGCCATAGTGAGATCCTTTTCATCTGGGATTTTTTAATACAGTATTTCTTAGTATCTGTATACATAAAGATATATAATGCATTCATTCTTAATATCCTAACCTAAAACATGTATTGTTTATTGTTTATAGATACCTTTAATGTCTCTAAACTTTTTGTACTTTTTGTGTTCTCAATTTTGTTAATCTTCTCAAATTATCATTGCATAGTATATGAAATTTGGAAATTCTTTATAATATCACATAAACATTTCAGTTATGCACCAATTTTTAATTTTTAAAAACGTTTCCATTTTATGGAAATATATTGAACTTTCTGAAATAAGTTATTGTTGTACTTAATATTGAAATAGAGACTGACTTTTAAAATAAATAAAATACATTATCACAATTTGTAAATCTCAATATATTTTATTCTCTTTCTGGTTTAACATTTGAGGGACTATGAAAGGTACAACATTTTTTTTAACAAGATTTATTTTATTTATTTATTTTGAAGATTTTATTTATTTATTCATGATATTTATTCATGATAGAGAGAGAAAGAGGCAGAGACACAGGGAGAAACAGCCTCCATGCTGGGAGCCTGATGGCAGGACTCGATCCCGGGACTCCAGGATCATGCCCTGGGCCAAAGGCAGGTGCTGAACCACTGAGCCACCCAGGGATCCCTAACAAGATTTATTTTAGAAGTGGGATAGTCAGTTATGTTGAGTTATTTTATATTTTTCAAATCCAGATATTGGAGACTTTTATTTTCTCCTATTACAAAAGTCATAATTATTCACTGAAGATAATTTAGGGAAGTATGTAACCAAAACTATTATTTTAGACATTTTTCATAACCTTAGCAGCCACCAAGAACTAGTGTTTGCTCCTAGAAAGCTAAATATTTTCTTATATCTATAGTTGCAAAGTTCATAGCACATATTTCTTCTCAATAATTAAAAAAATCAATGATAAAAACTCTTTAGTAAGAATTATCCTTACATAGAAATACATGATGGTTTTTTTTATTCCAATGAATAAGTTTTATTCAAATTTTTTTGACTATACAGAAAATTTTATTCCATGATGGAGGCAGAGAAACAGCCCAGTGTCTCTGTGGTGTAAATAATGACAAAATATGCTAAAAATAAACAAAAAGTTCAAAATTTAGAAGAGTTAGAAGGCCAGAAGCTTTAACATAGTATTCTATAAAGTGTTGCATATCTTACTAAACTTTTACTAGAAATATAGTATAGCTCAAATTACAGGATTATCTCCTTTTGCTTCTTAACAAAGATTATCAAATCCATGCAGTGAAATAATGGACCCTAATAGAAATCTTTTACATATTTTTATGAACCAATATTGAGGAAAGTCACCCCCCAAAAAGGCAACAAACCAAATTCAACATAGACTAGACCTCTTTTTCAAAGATAAAAAACCAATTAGAAAACTAATTTTAATGAGTATCCTTATTTTTCAGAAATAATTAAGTGTACCCATCGCATTAGACAAAAACAAGCAGTTAGAAATAAAGACCCCAATAAAACATAAAATCAAAAATCAAATATTGGAAGCTTCTTTTGGAGACCTCAAGAAATTTATCTTTTTTTCTCCCAGTTTATTGAGGTATTAATGACACATAACAAGTATAACGTGTACAATGTGTTGGTTTGATACACTTATGTACTGCAATATGATTACACTTTAGCATTAGCTAATGTCTCCATCACGTTTCATAAGTCGTGATGAGAACATATAAGATTTACTCTCTTAGCAACTTTAAAGTATATAATGGAGTACTGTTAACTATATTCAAGAAAATCTCTCTTAATTTGTGTTTCCCCTGGTATAGGGAAATGGACTGATTAAGACAAAAGAGATGTTACACCGATCTTGTAAGTTACTGAATTGCTAAATATGTTGAGTTAATAGGCTTTCTATATGGAAGCAACTCACTGATGAGAAGAGCTGGACCCTGAGATCACCCACAGGGTACTGGAATATTTGAGCAAATTCACATGACAGATGATTTCCAACCATAGTGCTACACTGAGCCTCCTTGAAATCACAGTCAGTTTGATTTCAACATATTCCAATAAGAAGAGTACAAAGGCTAAAAGTGAAAAATGAGCTTACAGAAATACTTACACACATGCACAAACACACAGGCACTGGGAGATTTAATCTATTAATTGAGAATAACATAAGAATCATTTGAACTCCCCTTTTGTGCCTTATATTCTTCCTCATTCCCCTTAGAAAGAGTCTTAGTAGTAAGACTCTCCTACTTAATCTTATGGTTTATAGTGTCTTAACCAATCCTACTGTCCTATAAATTGTACCTAATTATTATTATTTTTATAATATATCTCCTTCCCTCAAAAAAAAAAGAAAATATTTTTCCTGTTTTCTATACTAATGTATTTACAGCACATAGAAGTGTGACTGGCACTTAGATAACCTCTAAGTGTACATTGAACTCACTTGTGTTTGCTATTATTCCTTCTAGAGATATACAGAAGAAATTTTGAAGCCCATAACCTAATTTTGGGGGATCATATTGTATGTCAGCTGTAAGAAAAATTATTGCATAGTTTTTTCCACATTGTTTGCACTGCATATTTTACATCTTTATTCCTCAAGCTATAGATCAAGGGATTCAGCATGGGGATAACGAGGGTGTAAAATATGGACGCCACTTTATCAGTGTCAAAGGAATGACTGGACTCAGGTTGCACATACATAAATATCAAAGTCCCATAGAACACTGTGGTCACTGTCAGGTGGGATCCACAGGTGGAAAAAGCCTTGAGCCTACCCTTAGCTGAGTTCATCCTGACGATGGCTACCAGGATCAGCAGGTAAGACACAAGAATTATCAGAAGGGATGAACTCACATCAAAAACTGAGAAAATCAAAATCATCAATTCAATTTCATGTGTATTTGAGCAGAGCAAAGATAACAAGGGGAGACAGTCACAGTAGAAATGATTGACAACATTGTAGCCACAGAAGAATGAACTAAAAATCTTTATGGTGACTAGAAGAGACACAAATGTGCTGTAGAGATAAGGGATTGCCACCAGCACCTGACACACCCTCTGTGACATGATGACGGGGTAGAGCAGAGGGTTACAGATGGCCACGTAGCGGTCGTAGGACATAGCTGACAGAATGAAAAGTTCACTGATGATAAACACAATAAAGAAAGCTAGTTGCATAGCACAAAAATAATAGGAGATTGTATTGTGATCTACAGTAAAACTTACTAACATTTTGGGTCCCACGGTTGTTGAATAACCAAGGTCAGTAAAAGCCAGGTGTTTGAGGAAGAAGTACATGGGTGTTTGTAGTCTGGCATCCACTTTGGTGAGGATGATCATGCCCAGGTTGCCCACCACAGAGATCAAATAGATGATAAAGAAGAGCCCAAATAATGGAGCCTGCAGCTCAGGACGATGTGTGATTCCCACGAGAATGAATTCATTGAGCATGGTCAGATTGTGTTTTTCCATCCAGGTTTATTTAAAAATCTATTCTGGATAGATACATCATCATAATCAATAGATTTCATGCATTAAATCCTGGGAAATGTTTAGTATGGCAAACTAGTATAAATAAGATACATCCAAGCTTTCCTTTTAAGGATATTTGAAGACAAACTCATTGCCATCAAAGACTACTATACATACAGAGGGAAAGAAAGAGAAATGGAAGTAGATGAATAGTTCTCAACTGGAGCCATTTTAGCCCAGAAAGAATATTCTTCAATGTCTGGAGACACTCTGGTTTTCACACCTGGAAGTTGGGATGCTACTGACTTCTAATGGTTAGACACTTGTTAAGCTGCTAAATATTTTACTTTATCCAGTACAAATAATTACAGTACAATAATTTTACAGTACAAATATTTTACTATATGCAGTACAAATAATTGTACTGTAATTATTTGTACTGGATATATTACTATATATATATATATATATATATATACACTCTACATATATGTACTAGTAATTATAAAATATATTTACTATTTCCAGTAAAATATTCATCCAAGACCAGCAATAGTAAAAAGTTAAGAACCTCTGATGATATAGTTAGATAGATGATGGTGATAGATGATAGATAGATAGATAGATAGATAGATAGATAGATAGATAGATGATAGATAGGGAATGTAAAGAAAAAATTAAAAAACAAGTAAAAAATTTAGGACTTATATATAAGGGTGATTATTTTACTATTCTTTATTTGTTTCAATTAAAAAAACTTTATTGAGTATCTATTAAAATTATAGAATCTCCGATTTTAAAGAACTTTATAATCTAAAACATTTTATCTATTTGAAATTTTTATGTACTTCAAATTGTATTTTAATTTATTTTTTATTATTTTGCTTTCTTTAAATTTGTAGAACAGATATATACTATATGAAAAAAGTTAAACATATGTGATGAGCTGAATACTGGGTGCCATATTATATGTTGGCAAATTGCAATTAAAAAAATTAAAAAAAAACAAAAAATGTTAAACAATACAATAATATACCTAATAACAATGAATATATCTATACATCTCCCATCTAGTCACATTCTATCATTTACATGGCACAATCAAAAATAACATTTGTAAAATACATTAGTCATATGACCTAATGCATATGTTAATTATATAATAATTTTAAACCACAAATTCCCCAAATGCACAAAACTTACTCCTCAAAACATGGTCCTATGAAAGATATTATGCCTGGAAAGTTACCATATTTGACAGATATTTGACAGGTGTATGACTAAGAAAAGTATAATAGATCATAGTGGGAGTTATTTATATGGTGAACCATACCAGGAGATACAGTTTCTACTATATCCTAATTTATAGTATATGCAAAAGGTAAATTTGGGCAAAAAGTGAAAGCTATCTAAAACTCTTTATTCTCATATGTAAAACTGACATTTCTCTGAAGAGTTTTTGGGTAGGATAAATGAGGATTCAATAACTCAATGTGTTTATGTTACCTGGAAATAGTTCTCAAAAATCAAGTACATTGTGGGCTTTTGTTTGTTTGCTTGCTTGCTTGTTTATTTTTTAACAGTGATAATAACTTATCAGAAATGCTTCTGCTTTCTTTACTTACATGCTTGTGCATTCTCTGGACAGTGACTTAAGTTCTTTGTAGGGGCTCTAGTATAAATAAGTGAGGAACTGTTAAACAGGATGTAACACTTGCAACTCATCCCAGTTCCTACCCCACTCGCTATTCCATGACTAAATTTGAACAAGAATGTTGCTACTCTTTGGATTACTTATCTTCCAATTTTATTATTTATTTTAACAATGTTTTAATATAAGTTATTTTAATATAGATTTGCTTAAAATACTATTCTTCCCTTGTGGCATTTTCATTAAAATAGAGATATACTAACTTGTATGTAACAAATCATACGTACTTTATCAAGCAAGAAACTACAGGAACGTGGTGAAATTGGGGGGTAAAAAGACTACTGGCAGAGGTTTCATGCAATGAAGTTTCATAAAATTTCCCTTTGAATTAAAAGACATAATACTTTAAAGAAAAAAGAGAAAGTTGACAGTCACTGTGATACACCATACCATAGAGACAAAATAAAATACACTAAAGATGAGGTATATGTAAATCCCTGGATGCACTTTGAAATTCCATATATGAAGCCCACAGGAATCCGTTCAAACTATAATATAGCACATAATGGAGATAAAAATATATGTAACAACAGAAAATGTATGTAATACACTAAAAACCCATAGATAAAAAAAATTATGCCACAGTAGGAGGTGGATGGCATTTTAAGGTAAGAGAAGTATTTTTTTTCTAAAGGTTTTATTTATTTATTCACGAGAGACATACACACACACACACACACAGAGAGAGAGAGAGAGAGAGAGAGAGAGAGAGAGAGAGGCAGAGACACAGGCAGAGGGAGAAGCAGGGTCCATTCAGGGAGGCCGATGTAGGACTCGATCCTGAATCTCCAGGATCACGTCCTGGGCCAAAGGCGACGCTTAAACTGCTGAGCCACCCGGGCCGCATACTATTTTTGGTTTAAAAAATTATGAATATCAATGATTTTGTTTCCAAAAAAAAGGAGGGTGGGAATGTACTGCCTGCGATGAAATTATAAGTCAGAAATCTCTGAATGAGATATATATAAGCAGCCAAAAACATACAATTCCACAACATTAAATAAAAAGTAATTATGTGTAATTTCCACTTAACTTACTTATAAATTTGCTTATGTTTCTGACCTTTGGATATTCGATATGCCTGTGAGACATACACCTTTCTTATATTAGAAATATGCTAATGTGTGTCAGTAGATAATAATAGAGAAATATTTAGTAAATACAATCAAAAAGCAGTATAAATGTTGGGTTTTGCTTGTTTCATTCTTTTTTCATTTTTTGTTTTCCTTTACAATCATGGAAGGCTAAAAGATAAATAGTGCTTTTTTTGAAATAAAGATTACTAGTAATTTTTATTTATTTAATTTTTAAGTTTTTACTTTTTTTAAGGAAGAGAGAGACAGTTGAGATAGGGGTAGAGTGAAAGAGAGAGAGAGATGTGGGGCTTGATCTCAGGACCCTAAAATCATGACCTGAGCCTAAATCAAAAGTCAGATGCTTAACCAAATGAACCACCCAGGGGTCTCTAAATTGCATTTAAAACATTTTTTTACTTAAATTAAATCTAATTAACATATAGTGTATTATTAGTTTCAGAGGTAGAGTTTAGTGATTCGTCAGTTGCATGTAACACCCAGTGCTTTCCATCAAGTGCCCTCCTTAATGTCCATCGCCCAGTTACCCCGCCCCTGCCCACCTTCCCTCCAGCAACCATCAGTTCCTTTCCTAGACATAAGAGTCTCATGGTTTGTCACCCTCTCCATTTTCCTTTTATTTTATATTTCCTTCCCTTCTCCTATGTTCATCTGTTTTGTTTCTTAAATTCCACATATGAGTGAAATCATATTTGTTTTTCTCTGACTTTTAAATAGCATTTTTTTAAGTACCAATTTTTCTATGAGGTGAAGAAAGATAAAAGCATTTCCTCTCACCAGCTTTGGAGTTCTACGAAAAGAATCAAATTGCTGTTTCATAGTTTACTATAGCTATTGAATATTTGATATTTATTTTTTTAAAGCTACATTCTTTGACATAATTATACCTGCTTTCTGTCAGGTCCCGCTGGAAAGAACATCGTGAACATCCTTCCATTACTGTAAAACTTGGTACTTAAAGGTCTCCTAATATCTAAGTAATGCTTTGCACACACAACTCAGTGTGAGTTGGCAACCCCTTCTTTCCTTAAAAAGATATCAAATGATAATTATATTTATGCATTTATTTAAATAATCATTAAGTCCGAAATTATTTTTTAGAGAATCATGAAAAGTGACTAGGTTCACTAAGTAAGTATTCAGAATGGCATCAAAATAAGAGAAAATACCTGTAGTTTCTTAATGTTGCCAATTAAAAAAAAATTGCATGTTTTTCCACTGTGCATAACTTGCTGTCAGTTTTGGCTTCCATTTGAGATAAAATCGTTTATATTAAACCTAAGAATTTTATAACAATATGAAAATGAAGTTTCAAATATGCACAGGAGTATTTGGCCTCTCATCCCGTGTGAAAACATTCAAAAAATTTAAAATCAAGGACACAGGAGTTAAGTTCTGTTCTTTCTCAGGCATTATGTTTACTATAAAGCAAAGCAAACTAAATCAGATATGTCACATTTTGCTAGGGTGGCCATGGACATAAAATGGAATGCTACAAGCATCACTAAAACATTGTGGATATTTGGTAGCATAAGGTACTACACAAATATTCTGTTATTTTTACCTGTAATGAAACCTTGTCTTGACTCCTATATGTGTTTCTTAACATGGCATATTGAGAATAATATATGGTTTCTATTCATCTTTTGAGACTCTCCCTCAGGGGATGCCAAGCAATTTATTTATTCTCACGAAGCATATGAGAGGATGAAAAAAAAAAAGCCTGGAGGTTGTCTATTAATAAGCAGAGCAAATTTGTACTCACCAGTGAATAAATTACATATGTATAATCTATCTATCATCAATCTATCATCTATCTCACCTATTTATTTATTTATTTCTTTATTTCACTCCTCTTTTTCACATTTTTAAATTTCAATTGAATTAGCAAATATACAGCACCATTAGTTTCAGATGTAATTTTCAATAATTCATCAGCTGGGTATAACACCGAGTGCTCATCATACCATGTGCCCTCCTTAATTCCCATCACCCAGTTACCCCATGCCCCACCGACCTCCCCTTCATCAACCATCACTTTGTTTCCCAGAGTTAAGAGTCTCACTTGGAGCAGCCTGGATGGCTCAGCGGTTTAGCGCCTGCCTTCAGCCCTGGGCATGATCCTGAAGACCCAGGATCGAGTCCCACATCCAGCTCCCTGCATGTAGCCTGCTTCTCCCTCTGCTTATCTCTCT